GGAAATTAACAAATTCTCAGTGATGCCTATAAGGAAGAAGAAGCGTTTTGGAGGCAACGTGGTAGGATCCAATGGCTAAAAAGTGGTGACCTCAACACGGGATTTTTTCATGCGGCTACTAGGCAAAGAAGAATGCAGAATACCTTTACAGTGATAGAGGACAACGATGGTGAGGCTTTCTTTGAAGACAATCAAATAGCAGGGGTGGTGGTGGATTTCTACAGGGACATGTTCCAGACTAATGGTAATCGAGACTTCTCTGTTGTTGATGGCGTGATCGAGAGGAAAATAACACAGGAGATGAACACTTCCCTGATCAGAATACCAACGACAAAGGAAATACAAGAGGCGGTTTTCTCTATTAATGGAGGCAAGGCCCCTGGTCCAGATGGTTTTTCGGCGAAGTTTTACCAGGCTTATTGGCCCATTATAGGCGCTGATGTTTCCCGAGATATTCGGAGTTTTTTCGAGACAAGCAGTCTTAACCCACAGTAGAATGAGACTCATGTTCGACTTATTCCGAAGATTACAGCGGCCCGGAGAGTGGCAGATTATCGACCTATCGCCTTGTGTAACTCACATTACAAGATCATAGCCAAAATCCTCACCAGGAGACTAAAACCGTTGCTGCCAAATCTGATCTCGAAGATGCAATCAGCTTTCGTGGTCGGCAGGGCAATCACTGATAACGTCCTTATTACTCATGAAACCCTACATTTCCTGCGTACCTCAGACGCAAAGAAGTTTTGCTCCATGGCCATTAAAACGGACATGAGTAAGGCTTACGACAGGACTGAGTGAGGCTTTCTCCGGGCTGTCCTCTCCAAATTTGGTTTTTGTGATACGTGGATTTTCTGGATTATGGCATGTGTGAAGACAGTATCGTATTCTTTTCTCATCAACGGAACTTCACATGAGAGTATTGTGCCCTCGAGAGGCCTCCGCCAAGGAGAACCCCTCTCTCCATATCTCTTCATACTGTATACAGAGCTACTGGCTGGAATGTGTGAGAAAGCTCAAGCAAAGGGTCAGATAAGAAGCATTCGGGTAGCGCGGGGTTGCCCGTTGATCACGCATCTTTTATTCGCAGATGACACCATGTTTTTTTGTCAATCAAGTACAGCCGGGGTGAAAGCTTTAAAAGGTATTATTGACGCTTATGAGGAGGTCTCGGGTCAGAAAATCAATTACTCCAAATCCTCGATCACGTTTTCGGCTAAGACCCCTCCGAAAGTTAAAACTCGAGTCAAACGGGAGCTGAACATTGATGCTGAAAGAGGGATAGGGAAGTATCTAGGATTACCTGAACTTTTTGGGCGGAAGAAACGTGATATCTTCGCCTCCATTCTCGATAGGATACGACAGAGAATCCGACACTGGTCCACCAAATTCCTCTCGGGTGCAGGGAAGCAGGTGCTTCTCAAGGCGGTTCTGGCAGCAATGCCCAGCTACGCAATGTCGTGCTTCAAACTACCTTCCTCCTTATGTAAGCAAATACAATCTTTGTTAACTCATTTTTGGTGGGATACCAACCCGGATAAGAAAAAGATGTGTTGGGTGGCCTGGTCTACTCTTACACTCCCCAAATTTGAAGGTGGATTGGGGTTTAGGGATCTTGAGACCTTTAATGATGCCTTGCTGGCGAAGATAGGTTGGAGAATAATGCGCGATCCCTCATCCCTGGTGGCTCAGGTTCTACTGGGAAAGTACTGTAAGAATTGCTCTTTTGGGATTGCTTAGCCCCATCAACAGCCTCGCATGGGTGGCCAAGTATTTTAGCAGGCCGAGAAATTTTAAAACAGGGAACAAGTTGGGAAGTGGGCAACGGGGAGTCCATTCAGCTCTGGAGTGATTCTTGGTTGTCTCTGTCTTCTCCACTGATTCCTATAAGCCCTCCAACTGTAATCTCTGCGAACAGGAAAGTCAGTGAACTGCTATGTCCTCTCACCAACTCATGGGATAAGGAATTGATTCACCTCCATCTCCCTCAGTATGAGTCCCGAATTCTCAGCTTGGTCACCAGCTCTGTTTCTCACCAAGATAGGAGAATATGGCTTCATGATATCTCAGGGGAATATACAACTAAGACGGGATATAACCTCGCAAGCGCCTCAATGATTGAGTCGAGGGATCAACCGTTAGACTGGTATAAATGCATATGGTCTATTAAAACCTCCCCCAAGATTAAAGATTTTCTGTGGCGTTTGGCTAAGAAAGCAATCCCGGTCAGTGCCAATCTAGAGACACGAGGTCTCCCAGAATTCCCTTGTAAACGTTGTGGTGGCATTGAAGATGACCTCCACACCTTCCTCCTATGCCCTTACGCTCAGGAGGTGTGGATGTTGGCTCCAATCACTCCAAAACCTCAGGTGCTAATACTTACAGTATGTCACATTCTGAAAACAAGATCACAGTTTACAGCTCTACCTCCGCTTGGGATCACAACTCCACTCTGGCCTTGGATTCTGTGGCGAATTTGGAAATCTAGAAATTTGCTTGTGTTTGAAAACAGGGATCTGTCACCTCAGGAGGTCATCACATTAGCGATTCAAGATGGAAAGGAATGGCAAGCGGCTCAAACAATAGTTACCCCTTCATCACGCAATACACCTAAGGAACCCACAGCTCTACCAAACGTAGAGAATGAGAGTCTCGCTTGTTTTGTGGATGCTGCGTGGGATGCTAGTACTAAAAATTGCGGGATTGCAGGAATCTTTAAAGGAAAGAATCAGAAGAAGCTCCAAGGATTCAAGGACTCCAGAAGGTGTGTCGAATCGGCACTGGTAACTGAGGCTCTAGCGGTACGGGAAGCGGTGTTGCAAGCGTTCGTCTCAAATGCTACCTCCTTGCTGGTATTCTCTGATTCACTGACGCTGGTGAAGCTCATCAAGAACAGGAGTTCAAGATCTGACCTCAACAACACTTTGGTCGATATCTACTATTTTAGCAACCGTCTAAGGGTTTGCTCGTTTTTTCACATTCCTCGTTTAAGTAATGTAGAGGTTGACTTAGTGGCAAAGTCAGAACTCATGTCTGTTAACTCTTCCCCTCCTAGTGGGGGATAAACCTTTTTATTCTAAGCAATGAATCATAGTTTGATCAAAAAAAAAAAAGAAATAACCAAAAATACAGACCAAACCAAATACCAATTTCAGACCAAAAGCCAAATCTGGTTTCCAATGTGGCAGATTAGAGCATTATTATTAGATAAATATAATTGCACATGTGGACAATGGTAGAAGGCTTCATTTAGACCCTTTAATAGTGTATGATACACAGAGTAGAAATCGCATGAATGGATGCGTTTTATCAGACCAAATGCACAAACGATTGTTCAACCTGTCTCATCTTCACATGATTATTACATAATTTTATTCTGCTACAAAATTTTCCCAACACCATCTTTTCTTGGCACGGATTCTTAAACATCCATACGGCTCCAGTTACTCATCAAAGAAGCAATTTGATCAAAAATACCTGTAGACAGGATCAAGAATAACTCTTGTTGCATTTGCTATGTCCATCCAGAAGGCCTTGGAAAAAGTCATAGAAGTAATCAGGATCATCACATACCGAGAAAGCATGAACCTGTACAGTGAAAATGAAATATAACTGAGCCACCATGTAAGAGATGCACCTAAAAACTGAAGAGAGATGACTGTACCTTGGAGATGAGATGAACGTTAGCTCCTACGAGACTCTCAACAAGGAGAATCCCAACCAATCTAGGATCTCCATCAGCAAGAACCTGCAATCAAAGCTGAAGCTGCGTCAATTGAGATTAGGTTAGTATTTTTAGTAAATTATGAAATACTGTAAGGGCAAATATGTAAATTAAAACTCTGAACATGGTTTTCTGCGTCAAACGCTAATAAGACTGGCGTCTAAATTTTTTTGCCGCAAGATGCAGTGTTTAGCCGCAGTGTCTAGACGCAAATACTGCGTCAATCAAACGGTCACAATTCTTTGCCGCAGCCGGAGACGCTGCGGTAACCAAACGAACAACACTTATATATTATTATTAGAGATGTCTTTTATTTTATATAAATATTGTTGAAAATGTATATTTATCGCTTCTTTGTAAAATTTTAGTGATTATAGTTTATTATTAATAATATTGAAGACCAAAGTGTAATATAAAATTTTTTGAGAGAAAACATTTAAATGCCATAGTTGAAAACCTATCCTTTTATTTTTAGTGGGTTCCTCGTTTAAAATAAGGACCTGACTGGTAACAACGTAGCGATTGCGGTTGTGGTTGCGGACGTGTGCGGATGCGGGAGATTGCGGTTTTAAGCGTTAGTAAGAGATTTAGACGACTGTCTTAACGGTTAAAAATTGTTGCGTTTGCGGAATACTTATGACGGGTTTGTTATCAAATACAACAGCGGTTAAGTTTAACAATATTTATATTTTATATAATTATAAAAAATATTAAAATCATATTTTCATAATAAGTATAAAAAAATTATTGATAAAACTGTACTATTAAATTTTAAAAAAAAATTAAAGGAAATATTTTTTTGGAAAATTTATAATATAAATATTTTGGTATTTCAATTATTTTAATTGAACAATTTATTTTTATTTTATATTTATATCGTTATCTAGAAAAATTTTTTTTTATCCTCACGCAACCGCAAACGCTAACTGGAACCAGATTTTTGAATTTTAGAGATTCAGAGCAATTTGAAGTGTGTTATAGCATTTTCTGTGAATATTACAAAACGCCAACAGCCGCTATCAACCGCAAAAAAACTGCGTTTGTAGGTGTTGGCGGGAGAACCAGTCAAGCCCTAAAAAAATGTGGTCGGAGATGCTCTTAGCAAAAAAAAAAAAAAATTACCGTCAATTTCTTGTTACTTTTGTTTAGAGAATTTATACCTTCTATACCCACAAAACCCCAAAATTAGGGATATAATCTATTTCCCTCTGTCTCTTTCCTTCTTACTTACCATTTTTTTCCTCCCAATGTTAGTGGTATCTCTCCTCTATAGTATTTAGCTAATTTAGTCTTTTGTTTACGTCAATAATAAATTATATAATAACCTTATTGATTCGCATACCAAATGAGACTCTCTCGGCCTTTATATACAAAAACCTTTTTACAGTTTCGTACTCATTGGAAAGTCTAAGAAATAAGATAGAAGAAAGAAAAATCAATGGAGAATCTATTGGGTCTTCTCAGAATTCATGTGAAGAGAGGTGTGGATCTTGCCATTAGAGATATCTCAAGCAGCGATCCTTACATTGTCTTTCACTTCGGAAACAAGGTCAAAATAATCTATTTTTGGCCTCTTTGTTTTCTTATTAGTATCTTTGTCTGAATCTGTTCGAATCAGAAGTGTTTGTTACTAAAAAATCTGAGTAGTGAAAACTCAACTGGGTCTTACGATATTTGACAGTGGATCACTTTTTCTTGATGTTATATATGACGAACATAACCTCACCAAGAACAGGACTGAAAGCTAATAGTTTAAGTTTCAGACATCCAAGGAAGGATAGAAGGAGCATTAACTCTCAAGCCTGGCGAAATCTCTTAGTCAGCCACTGCGAGTGTTTTTTTGAGAGTCAATCCTTTTGAGTTATCACCATTAACATCCCTAGCTCAAACGAATTATAGAATAACAACTGACAACTGTTTAGAATAAACGTGAAAACTGATGAGATAAACTGAGCTTGTTTTAGGTCGGATGAGAAGTCTTTTTGATTCTTGATTTTTACCTTTTGAAGTATATGTTTGAAGAGTTGTGAATCAATGGTGTCTGATGATGTCTTTACCTAATCTAAATTAGCGGTTAAACATTTGGATATCTTTTTGATAGAATATGGAATGAAGATTCGGAACATATTCTATCACTTTCTTCCTTGCTAGTGTTGATTATAAAATTGATGATTTAAATGGAGAAGAAGGCATGTGATTTTGTTTTCCAGTGCGAAAAGGAAAACTTAAGATTGTGTTCATATTTGTGGTCCTTGTCTCCATCAATTTCTCTTCTTTCTGTCAACATCAATGCTCTGTATCCATTACGAAATAATTGAATGATGATGTGTGTGTGATATGTATTGTTTCAGACATGATATTTTCCTGATAAGCCTTTTGATAGTTCTTATTCTTTTACTTAATGAGTTAATCCCAAATCTTTTATTTGATACAGAAGCTGAAAACTCATGTAGTCAAACAAAGTTTAAATCCAGAGTGGAACGATGATTTGACTCTTTCTGTGACTGATCCAAATCTCCCTGTTAAACTTGTAAGTGATCCTTAATCTTCTTTTCGATTGACCGTTAAAATGGGGTAAAGCTAGTTTCAGTAGAGAAATGAAACATTCTTGTTTATGACGCAGACTGTTTACGACAAGGACATACTCTCTGCGGATGATAAGATGGGAGAAGCAGAGTTTAGCATTGCTCCATATCTTGAAGCCATTAAGTTTCGCCAAAAGATCCAAGGAGGGCTTCCCAATGGAACCATAATAATGAAGATACAGCCGAACAGACAAAACTGTCTGTCTGAAGAGAGCCACATTGTGTGGAACCAGGGCAAGCTTGTTCAGAATATGTTCATTAGGCTCCGTAACGTAGAGTCCGGAGAGGTTGAGCTACAGCTCGAGTGGATTGATGTCCCCGGTTCAAAGGGTATTTAAGTCACTTCATGTCATTCCGATTCCGATCCTTATCCCTTGTGCATATATGGTTTAACTGGCCATTGAAATAATCTCAAAACTTGTTATGTAATCTCCTTTCTTTTGTGCTTTTCGAGTCCAAAAAGTGTGGAAGTCCATGAGGACTGACTTAGTAAGTGTAACATTTGGATACTCAAATCATAATCATCTCTCGTTAGCTTGAATTCAACTAACCAAACCTCTGCGAGATACTAAATTTATCAATGAAACTTAGATGGGGAAAAGTTTAGATCGTATCAAGAATCTTGCAACATTATTTTACCTTCTCACTCTCAAGTTTCTAGATGCCTTCTTGTGCATACAAATTAACATCATTGTATATGTATTAGCCTATTAGGGATCCTATTCATTATTGCAGAACATCTATAATATTGAAAGAAAATCATTTGAAAAATCTACTATAAAAAAGTTGTTTGACCTATGTATAAATTTTTATTATTTATTTGATCCAACCATTAATTATTCTAACCATATAATATTATAAATATTTTATTAGATGCTATTATTAGTCTTCATTTTATGTGATACACCTTTTCTCTATAAATATTTTATTACCTAATATTATGGTTGTTATGCAATAATGTTATAAACATATCTTCTATTCAATAATGGACCTACAATATTTGGCGATCAACTAGAAATATGAATTAGCATATATCATACAACATATTATACTATGTCATCTTTATATTATATAGTTCCAAATATATACAAATCATAGAAACACTTTAGCACACCATCTGTTAAAGTCAAATTATATGCATTACATTACATTAATTTTAATAAAAAATGTTTATAATACAAATTTGTTATTTAGTGTAAGTTTAAAAACTATTAAAAACCCTATAAATCTATATTATGAAATTAACTAATAATTTGTCAAATAAATCTTAAAGTCTCACCAACTCAACAAATAAACTCTTATAGAATGCAACCAAAATATAATGAGGAAGAGTAAGCATGGCATTCAGTTCTTTGAGTTGGGTACGGATTGGTTCCTTTCGGATTCTAGAAATTTGTTTTGGTTTGGATTCAGATCGGTTTATTTTTGGTCTAGGTGAGTTTGAATCCATAATTCAAATGTCTGTAAAATATCTATCATTTTTAGGTGCGTAACAGGTCTAGATCGGTTTTGAAATCTAGAATCCAAAAACACTTGAAGTATCTGAAAACCCAAAAATACCCAAAACACGAACAAACACTCGAAAATCTAAAAATACCCAAAAATATTTAAATACTCAAAAGATCCAAATTTTTATCTGAAATCTGATATGAGGAACTCAAATAATGCACTAGAGACATCTGGGAAAGTTTTCTCGGGGATATTAAATTTAGGATTTAGAAAACTTCACTGAAAATCTTCTGAATAAAAAATATTTAACCTAATTGATTTTTTTTGTCTTACTATATAAAGAAAACTAGAGCTTCACCCGCGCACACACGAGAGTTTTTTTTTCATTATGATATGCATCTAACCATCGTAAATGCTGTTAACTTAACTGTTTATGTTTTTTTAGATACATCATTATTTAATTTTGATATATTGGTGTGTTGTTCAATGTGTTTAGATTATGAACTTTATAATTTATGGTATTGTTTTAATATTGTGTGTTTGCGGAATTTTATTCATTTTATTTTGATAAAATAAACAGTAGACTGTAAAATATTATAGGTATACCCACCCCTATAGTTTTATGTTTTAGTTAATTAACTTATAAATATTTTGATTTAAGATTGTATATAAATTTCAGATATGATATTGCGTTTTGTTAAAACAAATACATGTTTAGAGATAAACATTTCAAAAATACGTACAGATTATTTTCAATTTTTTATTAGCTAATAATTGAAGTTATTAAATTGGGCCATTTATGATCTAAATTGACAAATACATAAAACACCAACGCATGCCCATATATTGTTTTAAAAACAAATTTCCGGCAAGATAATAAAGTAGTAATCATGTATTTCATATGTATGGAAATGTAGTTTATTATGTCATGAACATTTGTGAACAAATTATAGTAAGATAACTAGGATAAGACCTGCGCCTTGCGCGGGATGAAGTTATTATTTTTATTATGTTTTGGAAAATGAAACAAAAGTTCGGTTTCATCTAGATTAAGGATGTTCAATCTGGATATCGGGTTTCAGTATTTTGGTTATTAAAATATAACCACTATTCTAAATCCATATTTACTTCAATTTAATTTGGTTTATATATTGGTTTTCAGTTTATTAAATTTATACCAAAATAGATCATTATTTAGTTTGAAATCATATTATATATTATAAAAATAAATAATATGATCATATTTAGAGTCTTAAAAATATTATATATTTAACTAAAAGAATAAAAAACAAAAAAGGCTTCTATGATCTAATAAAATGATCAAATCTAGAATTAATATCAAATCTCTAAATTTTGAAAATAAAAATAAAAACAAAACAGAAGCATGAAAGAAAAGTTTTTATATTCTTCCATATTTAGTGTTCATCAAACTAATATGTCTTCGATTGAACACAACTCTGTTTGTTTAAAGATTAAAAAAGATTGTAAAGAATTTCAACTAATTGTTGATTTGTTGTCCATAAAATTTATAACTTTTACTTCAATTTAGTTTTTTTTGTAAAAAAAGAAATAAAGATAAAAAAAAGACGAAAAAATAAGAAGCCTCAGTTGCATTAAATTGTTAGTTAATTATATTTCAAGTGATTCAAGTGATTTACAAATCATAATTATAGTTCAACTCATGTAACAAATAGATATACATATTTACATGTTTCAGTTTAATCGATTATAAATCAAACCATATCCAAATCTTATGGTTTTTATAAAATCACATACATTCGGTTTGTATGGTATATACCAAAAATAAACATATTATCGATTGTGTTAATATCTTTAAAAATAGAAAATTATAAAAAAAAAGAACTAATATATTTAAATCATTGATAACAAAAAAAATTCAATGTGAAAAATTTAATACGTTTATAATTTATAAATGTTCTTGAAAATTCATTGAAATTTTTGAAATTAAAATAAGTATGTAATCTTATATGGTATATAGTTTAATCTATATATTGAATGATACTTTTTACTCTATGGTTTTAAAATCATGTGTATCTTTTTATAATAAAAATGTTAAACTATTGATCATTAATTTTAACATAATAATTTTAATAGTTTTAGTCATTTATTCTTGGTTTTTTTAAATTCAAAATATAACATATACGAAAAAAAAAGGGTATCTGAAGTTTAATTTTATAGCTAATTTGATTGTTTGATTTATTTTAATAATATAAAGTTAAAGAAAAATGATGGAGGAGATACAAATTGTTATCAAATATTTATTATTAGAAACATTAATTGTCATATATATATATTTGTCATTTATGGTAATTCCGTAGCTTTTATTTAAGGAAAGAAAATAAATATCATATCATATAGTCTGACCAACAAATATATCTAGCAACAAATAGTAATTATATCTAGCAGGACAATCATAAATGCTTCTATCATAAATATCATATCATATAGTCTGACCAACAAATATTCTAGCGACATATAAAAATCGAATGTGGACTTACTTATTTTTCAATTGAATATAATTGACTACCTAATTGAGTGACACGTAAACATGAACTCTTTTTTAATTATTACAAAATTGAGGTTACAATTTTTCAAATGTTTCTCAATTAATATATAGGGGATAAAGAATTAATCACATATTGGTGTGTATGGAAATGTAGTTAGTATTAAACTAAAGAATATGTGATAAAATCACGCATAATCTATTAAAAGAGGAATAAGAAATTAAATTATTCCTTAATTATGTAAGCTCATGCCACTGTAATATTAACTAAACATATATTTAGGTTTTCTCTGTCTTTTTTTTTTTATAAATTAATGGATTAATAGTTACTTCTAACTTTATGCTTTCTATATCTTTTTAATATTAGTAAAATATTTCCTAAATTAAATTTAAATATTGTGTATCTATATTTTTTTGAACGACATCATATCAATAAAATTAACATTAATTTACATCAACAATATACAAGAACTATTTATCCAACAATATAAATTATTATGCTCATCCCCCCCCCCCCACCCTCAAACGTTTTTTTTCTGAACATTATTTTATTCTCATCAATATAAAAATATTACACACACTGCTATAATTGTTTATCAAATTTAGTGTAAAATGTCATTTATGTGTTTTATTTGTGTTTTTAGGAGTATTGTTAAACGTTTGTATATTTTTGATAAACACTATTTTTTGTTCTTAACAAACTATTATTTTCTGACACACACAATCTGTAAGAATATTTTTTACAATTAAAAACAGAATCATTTTTTAAAAAATCAAGCTCATTCCTCTTCATAGAGGGAAAAAATATTTTCTTTTATTTAGCTTATCTATTCAATAACTGATTTAATGTATCTTTTTTTTTGTAAAAAATGATTTAATGTATCTTGGATTTAGCATATACAATGTATGTATTTATAATCTTAGCTTTTTATGTTCTACTTCACCATAAATACACTATTCCGATCAAAAAGATGCATGATAAAATTATATGGGTCAAAATCATGATAGAATTTTATTTTTTGTTTTGAGTAAAGAAGAGAAGACAAGAGAATAAAGGAATTAGAGTGCCTTATTCCATGAATAATGAACTTCTTATATAGGGATACAAGATGAGTGTTTAGCTTGAAGAAGACATACAAGTAAACTTTGGTGAACAAGACTTTCCATAATCGACATCACAATAACTATGTAGATAGACCACAATCTTCTCGTATATGTTGAATGGCAAATCTTAACTATACACACTCACGGCTAGCTTCATTAATGGCTAAAAGCTCTGTGTGATTAGAAGAAGTAGCTGCAATGATTTGCTTCATCGAACGCCAAGAGATGGCAGTTCCACCACAAGTAAACACATATCATGTTTGTGATCTACCATTCTGGGGATCATACATGTTCCCATCATCTGCATAACCAAATTTTTTTTTTGTGAATGGGTTAGGAAGGAATATACCTATGTCTTTCGTACCTTGGAGGTAACGAAGTATAAATTTTATCTCATTACAGTGCCTACGATTTGGACATGAACTAAACCTTTCCAATAGATTCACTGCAAATGATATATCAGGTCTTGTATTACTGGCAAGGTACATTAATGCTCCTATTGCACTTTAGTATGGTACTTCAGGA